AGTGTCACTGGCCCTCATATGTGGGATCCGAACCGGGGCCCTCTGGCATCCCAAGCGAGTTCTTAACCATCGCGCCACTCGGCCGGCCCCCCAAGAGCCTCTGTTTTTAAAGCTGGCATTGTTCCCTGTATGGTATTTGGGAAGAATTTAGGTGGGTTATTAAAACCTTAGACGACACGAGATTAAGGAAGATACTTTGCTGAGATTTAAAAAAATTGTATACATACACATGCTGATGCTTCCACCTGACCCAGTGGGGCCGGGTAAATGTGGATCTTCCATTATTTTTACTAATCCAGACTTTTCTTTCCTGTAGAAAACGCAAGTATTTTCACCATAACCAGCTAGATTGGGATGAACATAGTTCTGCTGGTAGATATGTTAGGAGACGCTGCAAACCATTAAAGGTAAAAGAAAAAAAAGATTTAAAGGTTTAAAAAATGTTTTAGCCATTTTTAAATATCTTTCTTAAATACAAACATTTTTCCCCTCAGGAATTTATGCTTTGTCATGATGAAGAACATGAGAAGCTGTTTGACCTGGTTCGAAGAATGTTAGAATATGATCCAGTGAAAAGAATTACCTTAGACGAAGCATTGCAGCACCCTTTCTTTGACTTATTAAAGAAGAAGTGAACTGGAAATCAATAGTCTTTACTGTATACTTCTCTAGAAGAGATTGCTTAAGACTGTGTCAGTCAACCTCATATACATTCTAATATTTTTGTAAACATTAAATTATTTTGTACAGTTAAGTGTAAATACTGTATGTTTTGTATCAATAGCATAATTAACTTGTGAAGTATGGTCTTGATAATGAATGAAATATAAAAGCTAATTTTCCTTTTTGAGATTAATTACCATTTTTAAAGACCTTTAGAACATCCTTTGTGTCCAGTGATAAATGTGATTGATTTTGTCTTTTGTACATGGAGGTTGAATCTTTGAAGTGATTTTTTTTGAGTAAAAGGAAATCTTGACTACTTTATTCTTAATGAATATTCTTTATATACCTCAAATTCAGAACTTTTCTTAACTTAAAATTTTTTTTTCTGTAATTATTGAACAAGTAATAAGTATTATTAACTCTATGTAGGCAGGTATTGGAAACCAGAACTCTTAAGAAGAAATGTTTACTGTTGGCATTTTATTAAATTGTTAAGTATGTGTTCTGTCTCTGTGGGTGATGTCAGTAAGAAGTAGCATTCATGGGACAGCATCCAGTTTTTCCGTCGTGACAGGCTTAATACAACTACATACACATTTCACTTCAGATTAAAGTCTAACTTAGAAAGCTTGCAAAGTCCTTTTTTAAGAGCTGTTTAGTGAGTCACAAACAGAAACAAATTCTAATGAGGTTCTAGTTTTTAATGTGAAATCTTGAGTCTTGAAAATGTCTCACATCTGTTTCCTGTAAATAAATACTTAAACTGTAACCTATGAGAATTAAGGTTATTGTTAAGCAATTTGTATTTGTGGTAATCATTACTGGAGAGAAAGAATGATTTGATTGGAAAATACTTTGGGAAGAAACCTACAGAAATTTCCAGAGCCTAATTGGTTGTTTAACATGATGAATTTTTTGTTTGCCTATAGGAATTTGTTCTTACTCTTACCTATTTTCACATTAAAAACTACATGGTAAATGTTAGTTTATTAAAACAAAAACAAAAAATCAAGCTTTTAATACCGTTTAGTCTGCTAGGTAGAAAATTTTTGTTGTATAATTCATAATTAATTGTTGAGATACAGATAGTTTTTTCTTTTTGTTAAAAGTATCCCCATTTGGTAAGTGCATTACACAGAGGCTTGAGTTTTATCTGTTTGTGTATTTTAAACATAAAATGCATGGAATTTTCTTGTATGACAAATAGTGAAACCAGGCTGGGCTCCATACATTATTCATAGGCGGCATTTGCCATACAGTAAGGCTATGTCCTAAAGTTGACTAGGAATTTAAGAAAACTGAAATAAATTTTACCACAGGATCACTGCATAATTTATGCTTAAGCCTCTGATGCTGTCTACATAAAATGAATGTGTATTCTGTAGTTACACTGTATTGTATGTGGCCAAGTTTTTTAAAGGAGTATTAGATGTAAAGAAAATGTTTTTCCTGAACATTTTCCCAGTGTTATTACAGAGATTAAGATGTCTGTCACCCTTTATCTTTCCCTCCGTTTCCGTCTGTCCAGGGCCTTTGTTCTCAGCCTCCTGTCCTTTCCCTACAAGCGCTTCAAGTTCCAAGTTAACGTTTACTTGCTCCTCCATCAGAAAAACTCAAGAGTAGCTGATCTCAGAATTTAGAAAGAAAAATATCCACATTATTTCTTACTAAGAAGTTCATGATTGCTAACTCCCTTTCCCTTCCGAAAAGTATTTAATTCTTCAAAAGGGATTTGCCGGTGGGGGGGGG